CCTCCCGCGAGCTCGCACCTTCCCCGCAGGCCGGACCGGGCCGTCTCCCGCGTCTGCGATCCCGGCCGCCCCGTCCCGGCCGGGCCCCTGCGCTCGCAGCTTTTCCCGGGACGACGCCCGCCCGTCTGAAAAGCCACCCGTTCCCGTGCACCCCGCTCGCGGCCCCCACGCAGTGCTTCCTCTTTTGTTCGCCTGTCGATCCTGGGGGTCGAAACCAAAGCCTTTCCCGGAAGTGAGGTAGGGAGGGAGGGAGGAGCTCGCTAATGCTCAGGCTGGGCTCGAACCTGCGACCCTCCCTTCGCCTCCGGCGTGCAGAGATTACGTAACGTGCGCCCCCACGCCTGGCCTTGCCTCAAAGTCCTCTACTGCTGCACTCACCGGACAGGCCGGAGACGCGCACAAACCTCCGTCCGCGGCTGCCCAGTCGGCGGCCGGCCCGCGGTTCAGCCCTCTCAAGCCCCGCCCCGCCGCTCAGGCCCCGCCCCCGAGACTCGCTGTTCCGCCCATCGCCCGCCAACGCTCGGCAGCCAAGTTGTCTCGCGAGATTGCAATCCCACTATTAGCGGGGTCTAGCGATCGCGCGTTCTTTTTTGTGGCGCGGTCGGAGGAGGTAGGTTATGGGCTGCGCGTGGGGATGGGGCGGGCCGGGTGGTCGGAAGAAGGGTGCAGCCTCCGAGCTCGTTGCTGGACGTTGACAGGCCGGGTGGGGGCCGCGCGTGGGTCTCGGTAGGCCGGAGGGGCTCCGTGGCCCTGTGAGCCGCTGTGCGCCTGGCTAGCGCGCGGAGGCCCGGGCTGCGGGGCCTTGCTCGGGGTCGGGCGATTTGTAGTGGAGCGCGGTGCGTGGGGTCGGAAAGGGGCCGGTAAAACCTAGGTCTGGACAGGTTGCTTGTCCAGTGGCTTCCTCGGCCCGTGTGTCCCGCGGCGGCCGCCGTGGGGGTCTGTCCACCTCCCTGGAGGTCCTCAGTTGTCTGCGTTAGTTCCGGCAAGGCCTTGTCGGTTTTAAATCTCAGAATCCCAGGATTGGAAGCTACGACCAAGTTGGTCTTCCAACCACATGTCGGATTTTCGTATATTCCTTCTTTTTTAGGAAGGTTCTCGCCTTGTAATCCAGGCAGGTCTCGAACTCGAGGCGATTCCCCTGCCTCACCCTCTTCAGTGCTGGGACTACAGGCGTGCAGCACCACAACGGGATCAAAGGTGGGGGGGTTAAGCCAGTTGTATTTTGGTAATTTTTAAGTTTAACTACACGTGTGTCATTAACGCTTTTTGTACACCGGTTTTTGCGCTGCACTGTGGATCAGCCCAGGCCTTACCCATTTTTAGGCAAGTGCTCTACCATTGAGGTATATGCTCTGCCTCCTTGTTTTTTTTTTTTTTTTT